ATTCCTGATGTCAGATTTGTGTCCATTAATTCTTTTGCATAGAGAATGTAGCAGTGGTTAGATTCTTTACTGTACCCGCCAGCCCAGATTTATATGTACTTAATGCATTCCTCTGAGGGATTTGTTTATGTCAGAGTTTCCTGCCAACATCTAATGCCACATCTTGTTTACAACTTGTATTTTCTGTGGCATAAGGAGAATGCTGAATTTTGATATATTAAAAAAATATTACAGAGCATTGCCAAATGCATGAGCAATTTTACATTTGTAGACAGCTTTTACACACTGTTGATTGCATTTTAATGTAAAGTGGCTTACATTTGTGTTCTGGTGATGGATTCTGATCAGCATCCAACACTGAGTATGAGAGATATGAATGTTGCAGATATGGGAAAATAAAAGTTTTATTAAAGAAAACAAGAGCGGAACAAGATCTTTTATTATGATGATGGAATTGTAGTTTCTGTCCTCTTAAATTATTGCTGTTTCAGGCACACCCTTCATCACATTCTGATTCTCTCCCTTTTGTATGATGCTTTTTCTCAAGAAGCACCTTGGAATCAGATCCTAGCTAAAGCATTTCTTTTATTTGTGCACAGGCTTAAAAGCTTTTGAACCTGTACAAATAGACCTCATTAAGATAGTGCTATCTTGACTACGGCTAATTGCCTAACAGTGCTAGATACCTGTTTAGTAATCCAGCAAGACCTTATTACTCTTTCTGTGGATAAATATGTTAAATTTTAGTACTCATGACAATGAGATATAGATGTTGGTCAAATCCCATCTGTAGCACAGGTAGATAGTTTTCAAGCTGTCTCCACACAGCGTATCACTCCTGATCAGTGGCGACCCTGCCATTCCAGCCTTCTCCGCCTCGCTCTCAAATCTGCTAAAGCACCTTAATTTTGACTTTCAGAGCCTTCTGCTATTCCACGTCTGGCTGCGACATATTTTTGCCCGTGAGCCTTAATCCTGACCTACAACAACCCTTGTTATTCCAGTCCTGGCTCTCTTCATAGCTAATCTCACAACTCTTCTGAATTGTACCAAGTTTTGCAAGATGGATTAACCTCTTTTAGGCACTAGGATGAGTTCTTCAAACTTATGTTTACTTGCAACCTAAGATAGCTTTGAATCCAACTCTGCTGTGTGGTAACAGCAGACAGCAACTGACCCCTGCCATCCCCAACATTTTTTCTTTATTTGCATTATATGAAGTGCCCCCGAAATATAGATCAAGACCTTACCATAAATATAGAGAAATCTTTCCAAATTTCTCCAGAGTATAACATTCAGTACAAATATGTCTGACATGTTGTTTACACCATTTCTTTCCGGCTGTTTGTGTGTTCGCTTGTATTTCTTATTTGCTCTTGAGAACCAGCAACACGTGCACAACACAGGAAACTAAATGAAAGTACAAGGCTATCTCTAAACCCTAATCCTAAATTCCCAGGTTTATGTAGTGGGAAGTTGTTGCTAAGTACAGTTTATCTATATTCTTTGCTTTTGTCAGGCTGAGCTGCTTAAAATGAAACAACAAGCCCTGGAGACCAAACACTTTATTGAAAAGCAGGAGGCAGAAGAGAGAAAACTCCTGAAAATTATTGCTGAGGCTGATGCCGAGAGGCTGAGGCAGAAGAAGGAATTAGACCAGGTAAGAAGGTCTAATTGGGAAGGAGCCTCTCCTTCTTGATTGCCATTCCAACCCACAGAAACAATCCTTTGTTCCATTTCTTCCCCCCACCCGCTTTTTAAGGAATGTATCTTCAGCTGGGGTAAATTGATGGTGCTCCATTGAAATCAACCTGTTACTGTATTGATGTCAACGGAACGACTTCAATTTACATCACCCAGGGTCTGACCCTACACTGGGGGGAGATATAGGTACTTAACAAGCTTTCATTCACTGGTAATGAAATAACATTTTGGTTGAACTGCTCTTGACTGATGAAGATACAGGCCTTGATGTTTTATGACTGACAGCTTTATAGCTTAATATCTTGCCTTGTTCTGCATCCCTAGGTTATCAGCGAGAGAGACATCCTGGGGTCGCAGCTTGTTCGGCGCAATGACGAATTAGCTCTGCTTTATGAAAAGATCAAAATCCAGCAGTCCATCCTAAACAAGGGGGAGACTCAGTACCGGCAGAGAATGGAAGACATTCGACTCCTCAAGCTGGAGATCAAGAAACTTCGGCGGGAGAAGGGAATACTTTGCAAGAGCGTGGCTAATGTGGAGGAACTCAGGTAGAAAGGCAGAATGAATAAATTTCACTAGCGGCTGCAGCCATGACATTACATTTGAGACACACGAGAAAGCTTGTTTTCACACCTGGTAAAGATTTGTAATGACAAACAAGGTACTCCGAAGGAGGGTTTGCTTTATCTGACCTCAAACACTAACTAGTTTAAATTCATAAACCAATTGATCAGTAATTAGAAAAAATAGGGAGAAAGAAAAAAAAAAAGATGCCTGGACCCGAAAGAAGCCATATCCAAAATTCACCGTGGACTTGTGAGTTACTGGTGACATTACAAGTTTGACAGACAGCAGGAGAAAAGGTGTTCACAGTCCGGTGAGCTACTTAGTGGTGTCCAGGGCCCACCTTAGTGGAACTGCTTTTTATTAGGCAATCCGTAGAGGAAGGAGAACATTTGACATATTTATAACAAACTCCCATATGTTTTCAGCGTTCCATCCTGCTAGATTTATATGTGAGTCTGACCGGTGAGAAAGATTTAGTTAAATTTTCATTGAAGGTTGTGTTTCTTTAAAAGCGCAGTTTTATAGCCCAGACTGATTTATCTTCTCCTACGTTGACTTAACGTTTTTCTTCTCTTTTTTAACCTTACTATACTTGAGGCATATTCTTTCTTGGTGGGAAAACATTGTCATTTGCTGTACAATCGCTGGGGGACTTCTAAAGAAACAGAGCTGTGTTTCCAGCAGGTAACTATATCCCAAAGCCTGGAAATGGAGGGTATGGTACTGCCCGCATTCACACTAATTTTGGCATAACCCTTTTGGGTGAGATTCTCAGCTGGGGAAATAACGTCTACTTCTATTGATTTCTGTGGGGCTACACGGATTTACCCCAGCTGAGGTGCTGGCCCATTGACTGCAGTCGAGTTATGCCAATTTTGGAGAAACAGGCCCAGGATTTTAACAACTGTGGCTCACATTCACTGACTGCAAACAAGGGCAGGGTTTGTGCCTGCTGCTCAAATGCATTGGACTGGAAGACTGTTCCTGTATTGAAATGCAAGGAATGTATTGAAGTATAGGGTGATGCCTGCCATCATGGGTGGATCAATTCTTGCTAACTACAGCAGCAAGCCTACACTTTAATGAACTCCCAAACCATTACTAAAACTGCCAGCTGAAGGAGTCCTTTTATCATTTGTACAACTAATTAGGGCTGGTCTACACTGGGGGGCGGCGGGGATTGATCCAAGATACGCAACTTTAGCTATGCAAATAGCGTAGCTGAAGTCGAAGTATCTTGGATTGAATTACCTGGGGTCCACACGGCGCGGGATCGACAGCCGCGGCTCCCCTGTTGACTGCGCTACCGCCGCTCACTCTGGTGGAGTTCCAGAGTCGACTGTGAGCGCGTTCGGGGATCAATATATCGCGTCTTAACAAGACGCGATATATCGATCCCGGATAAATCGATTGCTACCCGCCGATACGGCGGGTAGTGAAGACGTACCCTTAGATTTAACCCAGTTTCACTATAAGCGTTCTTGGCTTGCCAATGGGAGATGCCTTTTTCCCTTTCCCTCACTCCATCCAAACCTACACACTGGACCCTGCAGCATCAGGATTTTCCAAACAGCCAGCCAAATTCAGCCGAGGATTTTGGCAGCTTCAGAGGTGGAAATCCGCTGGGGGAGGGTGAAGTGGGAAGGCAAAGCAGCCATTACTTCCCCTTTTCTGGGTGGCGGGGAGTTGCAGGTGCCCAACACAGCAATGGCTCCGACCAAGGATGTGGTCTAGGCAGAGCTGCCGGAGAATGTGCTGATTCAGCATGTGCCCACAACTGCCTTGATTGCCAAGGTTCTTAGGGGAGTGCCCAGTGAATATTAAATCAGCCCCTGCTTAGTGGTGAATGACTTCTGGAGCATGTGGGTGAGGTCAGAACGGGGAAGTGTAAACTCTTCTTTGAGAGATTGCACATGTCTGTTCCACTTAGACATGTCCAACACATCTCAAAGGACAACAGCTGCAGTATGGGTAAGTAACTGTCTTTTACACCTCCCCATGCCAGCTACGGTGAATCTGGCCCGATGTGTATTAAACTGTTCTGTGAAGTGAGAATCACACAATAAAGGCTACAACTGCACCTTTGATAGGAGGAGAAATCATATGATTAGTTTTAAATTAAGATATTAAAGTCAAGGAGGCTTTACTATTGCATGCGATAGAAGGGGATCGGTGATAATAACATGTCCACTGTACAGGCCCACCAGACTTTTACCCTCCACTGCACTCCTGCTCCCAAGCTGCTGGGCTAGAATGCAGTTTGAAACTAGTGGTGAATGACTTGATGTCTACCCCACAGGCAGTTTGGAATGGGGTGACAAACTGCCTGGCCTGCTTACAGCTGCCCCGTATACTTACAGAGTTCTGTGTTGTGGGAGTACCAGGGACATGTTTATTCTAGCGTAAGTGTGTGTGTAACAGTGTCACTATGTTCTGAGCCCTTCAAGGACATGTAGTGAGAGACTATAACCAAGAACCAAACTTGGATTTCCTGCAGTGTAGTGACCACTAGGCTGGACCATAATTATCTGTTTTCTTAACTGGACTGAGATGCTCCCTCTCATAATTCATTCCTGAAAACAGTCTGAAGTGTGGCCTTTAGTGAATACCGTGGACCATGTGTGATCCCTGTGGGATGAAATGCTGTAGTCAGAGTCAAGTTATTAGGCTCAGTGCAGGGGTAACTGGGTAAAATTCTATGGCCTGTGTTAAGCAGGAAGTCAGACTAGACGATCTAATGATCCTTTCTAGCCTCAAATCTATGAAATAGCTAGAAAAATTCCAGGCAGTGAGCTCTATTAAATTGAGAAATAGTGGGAAGTGGTGAAAAGCCCTCGCTTGAGTCATTAAGATAGATGAAGCAACAGAAAATATATCGTGGGGGTACAACCGTGCAGTGGGATGGGAAGGATGATTGGCTGACCACATGAGTCTCTTCCACTGCTAATGATCCTGCATGTAAGGGAATGAAGAGTTAATGCTAATGCAGATGTTTGATTTCTTTGTGAAAGTTCTTGGTTGTTGTTTTTTTTGTACTGAACTTTAGGCAGGAGGTTTATCACATGCAGAAGGAGCTACTGAAGGAACGAACTCGATGCAGAGCCCTAGAGGAGGAACTGGAGAACCCCATGAATGTTCACAGATGGAGAAAATTGGAGGTAACATTTTAGCATAACATTATCACAAGCACCAAAAAGGCCATATTTCCAAATCGACAGCATAGCGCAAGTCATATTTTGTTTAATGCTATGCAAATTGGCATTTAGAGGGGCAGGCAGAGTGAAATTTCCATAGTCCCAATGGTGGTTAACTGCTGAATGGCTTCTTCACACAATGCAATCAGTGTTATTTTTGTGTTGCTTCCATAATGTACAATTGTAAAAGGCTTTGCTAAAGAGGATAGGGAGATCTTGAGTTGAGATTCAAAGGGAAATGATTCATTAGAAGGAAGAGATTGTTCAAAGAAGAGAAGACAAGTCCCTAGTGAAGGTGTGACCCTCTCTTCACTCAGTATGGAAAGTTGTGTGGGACAGAAATGAGAGGGGCTAGGATAAGAATAGTGGAACAGGGAGTGGGTCGATCTGAGGTCAGAGAGGTAAGCAGTCGCTGAGGGGAAGAACAGGCAACCAAATCAATAATGGTGAGTTTCCAATGCAAACCACTGTGGTTAACATGATGTAAATGTTTATGTATGCAGCAAGTCAAAATTTTCACAGTATCCAACCCTACCAAATGAAGACAAAAAAACCCCCAACCTGTTAAGCACAAACGAAATATATGAGCTCAATTGACACCATTGGCTATTTCGTAGATTGCCTCAGAGCCAGCTGAGATCTCTTTTGCATATGGCTAGTCTCTGATCTGATGCCAAGGGTGCTTAGCTGCCCTAGTAAATGAGTGATAACATGCTATCCCCCAAAGAAGTGCATCTGAAGATTTTGGCTGTGCTGACTAATATGATAGTTAATTTCTGATTTTTCAGTGCTGAGTTTAAAGCTACACAGTGTGCTGACCTTTTCTTCTGGAATGGAGATAAAATACAGGATGCTGAAGTGTACTGAGGAGATCTAAGTACAATCTCCGGCAGCTCCAGATAAAAATGGGAAATCATGCCATTCAAAAAATCAGATGGTAGGAGACTGGATATTTCAGGGGACTGATAATGGGAGAAGAAGTCTTTCAATTCTAGGTCACTGGTTTGGATCTGGATCACTGAAAGGTCAGCAGTTGTTAACAACCATATGACATGATTTTGATGGGGTCTCGGTCCAATTCCTTATGAACAAACATCCCCCATGACAAAAGATACCAATACAGTTGTCATGAATTAGCACCCAGTTTGGCAGTGGTCTAAGAAGGGCCAACGACTGAGTGGGTCCTGGGGCCTGAACTCCCTTTATTATTCCTTAAAAACTGATCTTAAGAATGGCCAGACTGGGTCAAACCAACGGTCCATCTAGCCCCGTATCCTGTCTTCCGACAGAGGCTAGTGCCAGGTGCTTCAGAGGGAATGAACAGAATAAGCAATCATGAGGTGATCCATCCCCTGTCATTCACTCCTAGCTTCTGGCAAACAGAGTGTAGGGACACTCTGCAACTGGGCGTAGACACATGAGTGCAAGGAGAAGGGAAAAATGTGGACAAAGCTTGTTCTTCTTTTTCCTGTACTGCACACATTCAGTGGCTAGAGAACTCCAGTATACTGGCTGCAGTCTGCCCCCTTTATAAGCACTAGATTCAGTTTAAAAATGGGATGCCAGACATAGGGGAGTGTTAAAGACTCAGAATAGTTATATAGGGGGAACATCCTCCAGGATCTCCTCCACCACTCCCAAAGACAATGGTGTAGTGTCCCTCCCTCTGATTCAAGAGGACAGAACCCGCTCCCTCAGGAGCTCCTTTTTGTCTGGGTTCTTATATGCATCCATCAGCATGGTTTCTGAATGCCTGTGCTGCTCCATGTATGTCAGTAATGGCTTCTGCTCAAAAATGAAGTACTAATCTCATCCTCCTCCTTCCTCCCCTCCAGTCCCAGGACAAGCTGCGTGTGGAGATATCCCAGCCTTGCCTGTTTGGGATTAGGCTGCTGGGATGCCCCATCACAATGTTTGGTTTGAAAGGGACTTTCCAGGTCATAAACATTGGCCTACCATGGCAGATCTCCCATACTGAGAGGGTTACTTTCAGAAGGATTGCTTGTATGTATGCTCTTTTCAACCAGTTCATGCTGCTACTGGGAACCCAGACACTCAGATTTCATTCAGTCATATTGGTACACAACAAGGACACGAGGCATAGACTGCTAGGTATAGGCTGTACAGCTGTACTTTAAAAAATAATGTTCTTCTTTAATAGGCCAGTGACCCGAGTACCTATGAATTGATACAGAAGATACACACACTACAGAAACGGCTCATCAGTAAGACAGAAGAAGTGGTTGAGAAAGAATTGCTTCTTCAGGTACTGTAGCATCATCTCTGTCTTCTGTATCTCAGCATAGCATATTTGTTGTACCCTGCGTATGCAGCCTACATAGGTATGCTCCCAATATTGTTATTAGGATGCCTTTCCTCTGAATTGTGGAGTATCAGGGGGTAGCTGTGTTAGTCTGTATCCACAAAAACAACAAGGAGTCCGGTAGCACCTTAAAGACTAACAGATTTATTTGGGCATAAGCTTTCATGGGTAAAAAACCCACTTCACTTGCTTATGCCCAAATAAATCTGTTAGTCTTTAAGGTACCACGGACTCCTTGTTGTTTTTCTGAATTGTGGGGTTTGCTTGTTCTCCTGCATTTCCCTTAGCTAGTGGTAGATGGCAGCACTTACACACAGAGAAATATCACCTGATTAGTTGATTTTCATACCCCAGTCACTGATATCTGGATGACTCTGAAAAGTAAAAAAAAGGTTTGATTTATTTTATTTGGCCACCAAAAACCAAACTAAATAAAAATGAAATCAAACAGGTATTTTCTTCAGCGTCCTGGTAATGACAGGCATGATCAAAAGGACTAAGAAATGCCTGACCAAGGAAATTATGTTTACTTGAAAGCTGATCTATTGATTTATAGGCAGTCATCATCCCAATAGCAGAACCCCTTATTAAATTACCACAACGTCACCGAACCATACACAAAGACTGAAATGGTGCTAGAGGGGAACATGGGGTAAGTCCCCTTTCAATATTGGTTCTTCCTGCCAACATAGATGGAGAATCTCCCTCTGACTCAGTTGACCTGGGGCAGGAGATCCTCCAGCGCCCAACCAAAGGGGTCAAGAAGAAGAGGCTGTTATATTACTTTCCTGATGGAGCTGCATATGAGGGGGTTACTTTACCAGCATTCATACATCTTTGCAAATAGAGCACCCCCTACTGGGGATAAAGACAGGGACCAGACCCTGGCTGAGGTTTAAGACTGTAGGAAACAAGCAGCAACTAAATTCCTTACTGTGGAGCCTTTTTCTTCTCTCCCCTTGGCCTTGCTTATTGAGTTTGCTTTGCAGCTGATGTATGCAGCCAGAGTACAGAACACACCTATCCCAAAAGGTGCTACCATACATGTTTCAATCTGAATAAAACCCCTTGTGTTTAAAGATATTTGACATTTTTCCACCTTTAGTTATTGTTCCAAACTGCCCTGGTCTCCCTGGAACTGCTCTGCCATTGCAGGAAGAAATGAAGCTTTTGTTGATTCCTGTCACCAACAGAATCTTTTTTTTAATGCTACTGTGGGTGGAAGGTGATAACATGGAAATAAATGGGTCCCTTTATGCTAGAGCTGTAAACGCTATGGGCAGACTCGCCACTTCCAAACAGAGGTGATTTTTTTTTATGGGTCTTTTGTTGCATGCAGGTCAGGTCTTTTCTGGGCCGTTGGGGGAAAGGGAGAATTCTTGATGTTTTGATGTTTTGCTATTAATCTCTGGAATGCTCTAAACCGGAGACAGTAGTAAATTGGTGGAGCTATGTTGCTGGTTCAAAGAACCACACTGCTTTTTGTGTACTAGCGATATGTTGAACACAGTGAGTTTTGTGAATGTTCTCAGATTTCTGGGTATGCATGCTGGGTGCTTTGGATGTGTTTACATCAACACAACAATCCTCAGGCAGAGATGGAATACTGGCAGAAATAGATAAATCTGTGGGTCAAAGGTGGTAAAAGCATTCCAGAAGATTCTTACTGACACCTGGGACAACGAAGAAATGCCACAAGACTTCAAAGATACCACAATTATTCCTTTAAAAAAAAATAAAGGCAGCAAAATGGTCTGTGATAACTACCGTGGGATAGCTCTCCTATCTGTTGCTGGAAAAATCTTTGCTTGTGTCCTCCTGAACCGACTGATTTCATCTGTCTCAGAAGCCAATCTACCAGAGACTCAGTGTGGATTCAGACCTGGTGTAGCAGGGTGGTCACCTGCTCCTGCCCTGAAGAGCTTGAAATCAGCCCTTAAAGAGGGCTGCAGCTCTGAATGCTGGGCTGATTGGAGAAGCAGCCACAGCTGGGCCACGCCCCAATCAGGGCCCAGCTGGCCCTATAAAGGCTGGGAGCCAGGAGCAAGGACTCAGTCTCTCTCTGTTTGTAGAGGGAGATGGGCCTGGCTGCAGGGAGCTAGAGACAGAGTACTTGAGTGGAGCAGGGCTGGGGACAGGCTGAGGAGCTCCAGCCTGGAAAACCCCAGGCTGCGGCCTAGCAGAAGGCCAAGGGGTACTGGGGGTTGCAGAGGGCAGCCCAGGGGTAGGCCAAGGCAGCAGGTCCAAACCCAACCTTGCCAGTGATGAGTAGGCTGATACTACAGTCTGCCCCAGGGCGTGGGGCTAGACGATGACTGGCAGTAGCCTTATATTGAGGCGAGGTGGGAATAATGGGTGGGTGTTCCCCGGGGAGGGGAGACCCTAAGACTGAGGGTTTACTGCTAGGGGGCAGCATCCCAGGTACAAGGTCACCGGGGTCCAGGGAGGGACATGGGGGGCCAGAGGACAGGCGGATCACCGGCCTGCAGAGGGCGCTCCTGGGTCGATGAGTTAATTCCCAGAAGAGACCAGCAGGAGGCGCCACAGGGTGAGTTCGCTCCTCTACACCTGGTCATAGCACTATAGACATGATTTTTAGTATCAGGCAAATACAAGAAAAATGTATCGAACAAAATATGGATCTGTTTAGTGTCTTCATTGATTTGACAAAAGCATTGGGGAGGGATAGCTCAGTGGTTTGAGCATTGGCCTGCTAAACCCAGGGTTGTGAGTTCAATCCTTGAGGGGGCCACTTAGGGATCTGGGGCAAAATCAGTACTTGGTCCTGCTAGTGAAGGCAGGGGGCTGGATTCAATGACCTTTCAAGGTCCCTTCCAGTTCTAGGAGACGGGATATCTCCATTATTTTAGAATTTGATGCAATCAATAGAGAAGGATCATGGACAATCCTCAGCAAACTTGGTTGCCCACCAAAACTGGTAAAGATCATTCGTTTATTTCATGCAAGGTCAGGTACTTTTTAATGGAGATCTCATTGATTCCTTTCCCATTTCAAATGGAGTCAAACAAGACTGTGTCCTTTCCCATGTACTGTTCAACCTCTTCGTCACCCAAATTCTCAACCATGCTACAACTAGGCTCAACAGAGGCATATACATCAGATACAGACACAATAGCTCAGTCTTCAATCTTATGAGACTTAAAGCAAAAACAAAAGTAACAGAACTACTAATAAGAGAAGCACTCATTGCAGATGATTGTACCCTCCTAGCACACACAGCGGGAGATCTCCAGTGCATCGTAGATCGCTTCGCTGAAGCATCAAAATTGTTTGGCCTTACAATCAACCTAAAGAAAATGGTGGCGTTGCATCAATCATTTTCATCACTCCATGTCATACCCCTAGCATATCCATTAGTGGAATCCAACTAAAGTAAGTTGACAGTTTTACCTATCTTGGCAGCAATATCTCTAATGATGGGTCTCTTGATAAAGAGATCACAAACAGGATACAGGAAGCTATCATTAAAGACTAGAGCCTCAGTCATTAGGAAAGCTACATAACAAAGTCCTGAAATCCCACAACAATAGCCCTCTCAACAAAAACAAAACTTTATCATGCTTTTGTGCTCACATCTCTCCTCTGCGGCTGAGAGACCTGGACACCATACAAATGGCATATCAAACAACTAGAGGCCTTCCATATGCGGTCTCTGCGTGCCATTATGGGGATCCACTGGTAGGACAAAATTACCAACCTGGAGGTTCTCCAAAAGTCAAATGCCACAAGCATCCAGGCCATGCTGATAAAAGCCCAATTACGCTGGGTTGGACAAGTCATTAGGATGCCTGAATATCGACTTTCCAGAAACATTTTCTATGGCGAATTGGCACAAGGACACCAGAATCAAGGCCACCCCAGAAAGCGCTGACAGCATCAAGAACAGCACACACTTTGGTGCAGTCAAACCAGATGATCTTGAGAAGGCTGCGTTAAATAGATCAGCAGGGCAGCACACAGCACTCAGAGCTTTCCAAGCCTTTGAAGAAGACAGAAATAATCGATTGTTAGCTGCCAGGGAAAAGCGTCATACCCCTGCTATAGCTACCAAGATGCTCACCAATGACTTTGTCTGCCCAATATGCTCATGAGAATGCGCGTCATGCTTTGCACTTCAGAATCACTCCAGAATCCACAAAAAGAGAGAGCATGAAAACATCATCGTTGAACCGATGGACTACACACACAAATCAACGCATATGAACAAAAATGGAGTTACGCCTGGTATGGAGGGAGCTTTGTGGACTGGGCATTGAGCACAGTGTAAGAAATTGGTATTTGGAAACATCCCTTTTTTCTGGAACTGGTTGGGCCCTCTACTCTCAGTTACATGCAAGGTTTGGAGAGTGTACATTTTACCACATTCTCACAGCAGAACCATAACATTTGCACAAGAAAAATAAATGCTACCTGTATCATACATACTCCAGCTCTGCCTTCCATCCATGACTCCAGTCTTTTTTGTGTGTGTGGATACTATTTAAAAAATCACACAAAGCACTGAGTGGGGACCATTTTTTAGGATCAGATGGGCATATTGATCGGAATATTCTTGATTAAAAAACACCGAATATAGATCCATGTAGAAAGCTACGCTACATACTCATCAGATTTGCTCCTACATGTATTTGGTCATATCCACTTACTTTAGCCTCCAAAATATATTTTCATTACTTTTTACTCCTGTTAGATCTGCAGAAACAATGCAGCTATGAGAGAGTGTGCTACATTCCATTCTGGCTTACACATCATCAACAGAAAAAATGAACTACGTTTCAAATGGAGAATCTTTCTTGCTGGTGATATGTAAGCCAGGAAGAAACCAGCTTGACTCTCAGATTCCAGACTATCAGTAAACAAAACCACCCTTTTTAACCTGCGTAGATTTGCTCTGTAAATCAACCACTGAGAGGTAATAAATA